GAAAAAAATTTTAATACTCAATACATGAGAAAAGTGTATGAGTCATCCTGTCTTGGTATATAAGTTGAGTTCTTATTATCAATCTCCATTCATATTGAAAAGTGTCGACTTGGCGCTCATCGTTTTCAGGAAGAAGGAAAACATTAGATACTCAACATTTCTTCATTCAAAAGATGTTTGCTATTTTTGTCATAATTGTGGTATCATCAATCGCTGTCAATGCACAAGGTCAGCGTGACCTTGGAACCGCGGTGAGTTGTTCATTTCCCCGCATTTAGTTTAAATACTGTTTGTCTCCTCTATTCCCATCTTTTATTTCATTTATAACATAAAGTACTCATTGTCATAATATAAAACAGACGAACATTTTCGGACTGGACGACCCTTTTTCGTTTCTATGTATTCTATCATTTCTAATAATTTTTTATAATAATCAAATTTATACGAATTCGGTTATGCTGAATTGAACATAATCATTTACTCACAAACATCATAATATCATTCGGTCTCTCTCCTTCATTTATTTTTCACCTGATTCAGTCCGCCTCAATTTTATTCGTAATTCTGATTAGCTGTGTTATTAGTTGAAGAATGAATTCAGTTTCGCAGAAAATTTCTGGGAGTGTCTTACATATTGAAACAAATATTTAATCAATTTCATCCCATGACTTACTCATTCTTGTCTTTCTCCAAACCTATCTCTGAAGTTAGGGACGCTCTTTTTTTACTACTCTTGTTATTTTTCTCGTTCATTTGACATTAATAATTTGTGCTCTGCCTCATCATTTCAATAAACCTTTATTTTATTAAAACCCACGGACTCTTCCATATACTGATTACCTTGATATAACAAAGCGATGTGTAATTTCAGTGCACCGACAGCATTCAGTGTTCTTCAGGCTATTGTTACAATAGGAAATGTATCGAGTGTGAGTAGAAAACGTGATTAAGTAAATTTAATCCAGTATTCATATCGTAATTACATGGTGGGACAATTATGCTTGTTATAAATACCGCCGCAATTCAAGTTACTTTTACTGTAACATATATAAGATTATTGAAATTTTAGTTGAGTCGCGAATAATAATATCCAGCATCAACTGCACAATAACAAAAAGCATTAATTCATTAATTTGCCTTATTTCATACGATTGGATTTTAGGGGGGACAATTGAAGGTGAAACTGGTCGCACGAATCCGTGCTGGTTAATAAGATGTGCTGGAGGACCTTGTGTTATCCAACAAGGTCAATGCCCAAGATCACCATGTCCTGGTAGGCCTCAATGCCGCCCACCTGTTTGAAAATTGAATTCCCGAAAAACGTTCAAGTATTAACACTAATATAAACTATAACTATAGGAACTAAAATATAAACTAACATGATAAAAAATTTCAAATTCAATCTTAAGAGATTGGAGTACTTTACTCATAGATAAATGTATGATTTAAATCATTGGAACCATAATTGTAAGGTACTATTTATATATCTATATACTGATACAGAAAGTTCATAAAATAGTCCATGTATCCTTAAGCGATGCATTTATAAAATTAGAAAATATAAGTTCAATAAAATGTGAAACGAAATATTAAAGTGGTGAGTTTATTGTCAGCTGTACAGAAAATTTTTGGTTCAATTGCGTCGTTCACAGTTATATCACTCAATCTTCTGATTCACAGATGATTTACATAATGTAAACAACAGCGCAGCATAAAGTGAAAAATACGATGTTATCATTTTCCTTTAGACTGTGCAAACATTCACATGAGGAAAAAACTGTCAGTCAAATAAATATGCGATAGACGCCACTCCGTGTATAGAACGGGGGGAATCCCCGGCTCAATCGCGTCATACCATGCCGTCACGTGCGACATAGCCTACATCATCGGTTGTCATTTATATTTTTACGACGATTCTTCATGAACAATGACCCGATAATAGGAGAATAATTGAATACAGAATGGCGGATATGAGAGGAAACTGGTTATGGTAATCAGTTCCATATTTATTATAGAGACTTTCAAGGTCTGGGGTGTAACGACTGCTATAATCCATAATCGATAATCCATCACTATTTTACCTCACTAGCTATAATTACAGACAAAAATCGTAAAGAGACTCTTGACAAGAAGGAATTCTTCATCAGCAAATAATTTAGCAAAATATTATTAAGAAAGATTAATTATATGAGGGGGGAGGGAGGCATGAGATGGTTGCATAAGCGAAATGTGACAATCAAATAGAAGGGAAGGAGAATCTTCTACCCAAGTATAAAGGAAGCAGAAATTCCTGTGGTCGCACGTATTCAGCCATTAGTGAGGCATAAGAAATTTTTTCCTGCAAAAATGAAGTTATTTGCGAGTTTATTATTGCTGATAGCCTTCATGGCCTCGATGGAGAACATTACAGCAAAGGATGTTCAGGTAAACAAATCCTAGAACTCGATTTGAAATTAGAGGGGGAGGGGGGAGGGGGGGGGGACTGTTTGGGTAATGCCCTCTTTATTTTTTCTTCTCGTTGTTTTTTTTCTCACTTTTAAATTGATTTCACAATTAATTAATTAATTTCAATATGTATAACCGATAAATCCAGATTTTTCAACGCGTAAAATATTCTTCAACGTCTGTGCGTATAGCTTATAAAATTTTATGAAAAACTCATTGTTAGAATTTTCAAAACTAAAGAAAAGGCGTGAACTGGCATAAGGCCCAATCTTAATCCGCGAAAAATAAGAAAATTAATAACGATTGTTCATTTGAGTCATTTTTACATTAAAATATATCTGCATGTTAATTTTCATCAATATTTCATAGTTTTTTGATATACGGAAGCCTGGATGGGCCACAACTATAGTTATTAATTTTCTTATTTTTCGATAATTAATATTAAGTTATAATATCCAGAAAAATTAATAAAAATTTCTGCCTCTACCAAACACAATGGATTTCGCAAGTGCCTATCGGCTATTCCGAAATTGCTCCAAATTCCTCTTACTACGTCAAGCCTGAGAGATGTAAAAAAATTAGAGCAAAAATCAGTGAAAATTCGATTACATAATAATAGGTCACCCCTCGAATTTTCGTCAGAATCTCCAAATCACCAACCTTCTCCTTCAATGCCAACGCCAAATTCAAACAATGAACAACTCTGCTTAACAATAATTAAACTAGACAATCGCGGAAAAGTCATAGAATCAGACGGTTTTGCTCTTTCAAGAAGTATTTGGCGTCACGTTATCTGGCAAACCGGACCACAGCCATGGCTCCGGTTCAGATATATTTTTGAATTACGGCGGTTAGTTAAATCATCTTTCTCGTAATATTGATATTTCGGATGATTCTAATACATGCTTGATCGCCGCCTATTATCCGGATGATTTCCGTCTTCTTATATATTCACCCTATTGTTTTTCCTCTCTTATTACGCGCTAGAGACCAATCAGAGCTTTCGCAACTCCAAACGTTCTTTTCGGCATTCTACCGTGTGATTCTCTTTCTTTCCAAATCCGAACCAATGGATTTTGGAAATTCCGTCGATTAGAAATTGAATAAAAACCTGTCGTGTGAATTTAAACTCAGTGTGGTTGGAAAGCATTGAAGCCAACTGTTCTACAAGCAAGATCCTGAGCCTAGGGAGAGACGAAATCACCTCTAGAGAAAATTGCACCCAATAAAACCAACATACCAAAACTGTAAATAATCCCAAGTGAATGAAAATCATCAGTAGCACGCGAGACGTTGATGCGTCAACAACCTTCGTCGTGAAACCTTCTAATCAATTATGTTTTTAGAGTTACAGGCTAGTCATTTGAATGATAAAAATGATTTAGGAATGATTTTCTGCTTCGTTCGAAAATGTAATAACCGAAGTAAATGTTAATTGAGCATTTTTCTTTACAGTGCACCAGCAGTTCTGAATGCAGCACGAGGTATTGTCGTTTCGGAGTATGCACTACTTGTGCGTATAATTTTAATCATTGCTTTATAATTATTTTGAAATGAACCTCGATGGTCACTGGATTGTCAACACAGTTGTCTGTTCATCTAAACGTAAAGAATTATTGCCGATATTTTACCATTTTTCATGTATTTTGTAAATTGCTGGGAAACTGTGGATCAGATTAATATGAAAAAATATACAGTTTACAGTTTTTATCATTATTTAATGTTTCACGAATTTTCATATTCTTGCGTCTCTTCTTCTAAAGTTTTGGTACAGTATTGTGCATTTGTGCAAAAGCTTACGGAGCAAATATGAAAATACTTTCACGGTGATGAATCTTCGTGAGACATCGAATAATAATGAAACTTGAAAAGGAATATTTTTCTACGTCAATTTTATCAATCGTTTCTCAGGAATTTGTAAAAAAATCGAACTATTAGAAGATTTCGGCAATAACTCCTTAAATTGGTACTTCACAAAAAGTTTATTTAGTCTCAACTTTATAGTTTTTTCAATTGAAAAAAATTAATGGCTCACATGTAATGGGTTTCAGGGGGCCAGAATGAGGGAGAAGATGGCAGGGAAAATCCGTGCAACCTGACGGATTGTGCAAATGGCTTCTCCTGTGTCATTATGCAAGTCAGTTGCTTTACAGCGCCATGTCCAGGTGCAGCTCATTGCACTCCGAATTCGGAAAAGTAATATTTATTACATAATACTTTTTTGCAAACATCATTTTGTGCTTGCATTTGTAATGCATTAAATATATTTTTAATGATCCATGAGATATATATTATGAAGAAATAGCGATGAGACATTGTCTAATGATTTCTTCATAAAAACTTATTAATCCAAGTTTATTTATTGAATTTTTGAAAAGTATTTCCATTTTGTTTCTACATGGCAATTATTTTTTCTCATACAATCAATTTAACTATCGTAAACAAGCTAAGAATGTAGCCTATCTACTTTCTGATCCCAATGATAAATGACGATTAGGTATTTATGTAAAGAGGAAACCCTGATCTTCGAAAACTCCGTAAACATATTGTTCTTGAATACATATTATCATCGAATTCTGGGCTGGATCATTATCGGCGGTGAAAGACAATATCAATGTGACAAAAATGGCCATTTTTATGATTTACGGTAATTAAATTTCTTATGTTTACATTTAAAATACAAAACAAACCTCCATTTCCTTTATTTTACCTAGAACTTAAATATTTGGAAAGTCGAATTAACCAACAAACATGAGCGGTCTCAACTGAACTAGAGGTCCATTACTCGTTTCCTCGTAATCTAATCAAGGAGAAACAAAGAAAATTTCACCTAGTAATCTAATATCAAATTAAATATCGAATATTCAATGATCAATAGTCACCTTCTGAAATAGCAATGAAATCAATTTCCCATCCAGTCCCTCCATTATTGACAGTCGTAGTGTACGTTATCCGCACTTCATTAGAAAGACTTCTGTATTTTGCAGGATGTTCCTGGAAAAATCCCAGCACGTGTAATTGCTTTGTTGTTGTTATTATTATTATTATTATTATTGTTATTATTATTATTATTATTATTATTTTATGAAAAGCATATATTTTTTTGTAGATAACGGCAGAAAGAACTTGAGGTTGAAAACTTCTTACAGGAATCTTAAAAATGGTTGAAAAAATTGAGGTGATAAAATATACTGTTTTTACGTTTGATTATTCTTCGATGTCTCGCACAGTTTTATCACCGTGGAAGAGTTTTCCTACCTTCTCAGTTTTGTTTGGATACTTATTTGATATCACGCTTCGCGTGAATGATCAAGACTTTTTAAAAACGGTTAGATCTCATCATTCTATTCTGCCAGGAATCGAGCCTGGAACTTATCCGCTGTGAGACAACGGCCTTACTCTCAGTAAACATTTGCAAAAATTTACAAAACTCCATTAAAAATTTATAGAAATAGACGCGCCACTATAAAAATGTGTGAGTCATTGAATAATCTAATCCATAGTTTCTCAGAAATTTACAAAAAAATACGAAAAATGATAAGCTATTGGCAACAACTACTGAATGGAGAAAAAAGAGATATTTCAACCTCTTGGTTTTGCTCAAATTCTTACCCCTTCACAATATCGTGTAATTGAAGCCCCACTCTCAGTGCTTTCTTCGACGCTTAAAGAAGTGTCACACATTCCTCTAGAGCCAAGATCGAACGTGGTGAACTCCAGTAAAACTTTCGAGCCCCTTGGAACACTAACATCCCAAACACAATAGCTATTATTCCTGTAGATATTCGGAAACATAGGCGATGTGAATTTGCCAGCATAATTGAAGATGCTACCCCCGCAGCCCCTCCCCTCAGTTGTCGAAGTATAGGTGATTTCATAATTCTGCCATGAAAAATTATTCTCAGCACTCAACATGAGGCTGAGGGTGTTCCCAGTGCTGAAAATGGGAGAGGGTAATTGGATTGAACAATATGTTCCCAAAATCGGAGAATTGAAATCTCCATCGAACACCTTGAGGTAGTTCTTCGGACATCCAGGCTGATCATAAATTCGCATCCTTATAAAGTATAATGAGATGGTACGTCCTTCAGGAACGGTGATAGTCGACCAACAACTATTGAAACCCTGATGATAAATTCTCCCTTGAGGACTAGTATAATTTCTGCAGTCAGCGAGAGACGCCTCCAGTTCAAATTTCCTTGGCTTCTGCGAATTTTCATTGGTAGATTTTAATGCGATCTCCACGATATTTCCTCCACTGTAGTAATCGAAAGAATCGACGTTGGCGCAAAAGGTATAAGTAGCAACAGGTCTATGACTATCTACAAATCGTAAATTCGATTGGTGTTTTCCGTTGACGATGTAGTCCTCCCCGAAACCTTCCTCAATGTGTTTATTCAATCTTCTATCAGTCAACTGGAGATGATCACCTTGACAATTCTCCGAATTCTCCATATCAATATTCTTGAAATGTATACGAAGATCCCTTCTGTTCGATCCTGACAAAATCCATTTACACTGAAGCCCGACAGGATAATTCTCGGGATAATGTGGAGATTTCAATGTTACCGTTGTATTCTCAATCCGTATGACAGATTCACCACAGGGAGAATCAATTGGTTCCAGTCTGGCAGTAACTCCACGACCTACATTTTCCCCATCGCTGTAAAATCTTATCCAGAGAAGATTTCGCACGGAAGAGATACTGGGAGGGAGCACATTGCCACAATATCTCCCCACCAATTCAGATTTCGGACCTCTTCCATCTCTAATTTCCAGGTAATCTCCACTGCAGGGAGCTGTCTGAGGTAGCACAGTCCTATTCTCCGTATTCTTAACATCGAAACTCTCAAACGTCATCTTAATTATTTTCCCAGGCTGGGCTTCAATGCTCCACATGCAGTCGTCGAAGTTGTCGTAATAAGCACCTTTCTGTGTTTTCCAATCGTGACTACTAGTCAAGTTGATCGATCCACCGCAACCCGAAGCAATACTCTTGGTAAAAATTATCCGAGCCCTGAAGCCCTTAAAATGATCGGAATGGTCCGAAGCAAAATTGACGGTGACTACGTTTCCCAGGGATTTAGTAACCGGAAGATTTTCTGTAAGATTTCCACAATAAGTGGACAAGAGATTGGTGGCATTCAGCCCAGGTCCTTCATATATCCTTATTTTATCGTGGAAACATCTGCTGCTATACTCCGTCTCAAGTGCATCGAATCTCACTGTAATACTTTTGTCTGGTGGTGCTGTGATGAGCCAAGTGCAGCTCAATCCACCGTAGTAATTGGAACCGTCGATGGTAGTCGGTGGTGATATCACACCCTCCTCTGTTAACTCTCCTCCGCAATCATTCGATAAGTACCTGAAGACAAAACCATTTCCAGAAAAATGCGCGTAAGTTCTGAAAATAATCACTATTTTATTGGTTGACGTAATCACTGGCGGTTTATTGTTTCCACAGTAAGAAGTTTCCATTGATCTCCAATATCTGCTAGTACTTATTGTGATATTAGCCCACCAACAGGATGGAGGCATAGTCTCCAGGTCAAAATTCTCAAATTCCACTATGACTGCTTTTCTGTGAGGCGCTACGATGGTGTAATTGCAGTTGAGATAACGAGGATAACCATTTGGATACATTGGTGACATAATGGTTTGACTAACCTGAGAAGCCATGAAAATACCTCCGCAGTTTTTATCGATATGCGCTTTGAATCCATCCCCTCTGATGTCATCGTTAGAGTGAAATATAACTTTGATATGATTTGTTGTTGTGTTGAAGGGCGATGGAGTATTTCTTCCACAAACTTTACCGAGAGACTTCCACGTATTTTCGTCGCTTCTCTCTCGATCAAACACTTCGACATAATCATTGGTACAATTGATACTATTCTCCAAACTGAATCTGTCGATGAAGGATAGTCCAATGTGATAGCCAGGCTCCACATCGTACTCCCAGACACACTCACTTTTGTTGGGATAAGCACGTGGAAACCCAGGTGAAGAAATATTGTACCCAGAAAATCTGCAGTCTGCAGGAATAGTATTGAGTTCGAATTCAAAATCCGCAGGTGCTTCAAGAGCATAATACTCAATCCACAATTTATGAGATTTACTCGTGAAATTATTTGGAATAATGTTACCACAGTATTTACGAGCCTCTGGTGAACGGGGACCACCATTTTTCACGATAATGTAGCTCTTGTCACAGCCTTTAAGGTTGAGCTTATTCAATGTCATAACAATTCCTTGACCCTCGGGGAACACTGCCTCCCAGACGCAATTTCTTGGGAAAGTAGCATTTACTGGCGTTCTGATCGTGTGTGACGGTCCTGTTAAAAGTGCACCGCATCGGTTCCATTGGTACTTCACGTCAACATTTATTGCACCCCATCGAGTGCCATTCAAGATTTCTAAGTAATTCAGGGGCGATCGACTTCTCAGAAGCCCAGGCTGTTCCTCTGAGTTACCACAAACAGCTCCAATGATGTTATTAGAAGCATCTTTTATCGCAACATATTTTGATGCCGAGATACAACGTCGATACGGACGCACCTGATTTCCTAGAGATCCGGTGACAGTAACTGCCAGAGTAACGTCTGCTGGGGCATCATATCTTATCATGTCAGCTGGAGCTCGGATAGTCCACAAACAATAGAATGATCTGCTCTTGTAAGGTTCTTCACTTGGAGTCGGTAATGATCCACTTTGCTCATTTATATCGCCACCGCACGGGGGGTTAGGCTCAGATTTGAATGTCGCACTCAATCCTCTGTATCCTTCGTTTGCCACAAACGCTACCATCATCTTGTTAGATGAACTGCTGATTATTCTTTCACGATCTGCGCTACTTATGGATCCGATCGGTGATCTAGACCGGAAATCGTTGTAGAATCTCACGTAATTATCCGTCTGAAAAATGATTATAGTTGTGGTTAATGCTACGAACTCCGCAGAGCTACACTCAAAAAATTGGGGTTTTCCAAGGATTCATTTACTCGGGACGAAGTACACTTAGATACTGTTAGGAACAAATTTGAACTCTATAAAAATCATTCGGAAGATCCCGAAAATTTCTATTTTTCAGTTGCAACATTTCTTGAATTTTCAGCAGAACCATTACATTATAAAAAAAATGCAAAAAGTGTACAAAAAATGATGGCCAACATTTTTCAAAAGTATATGATTAAAGGAAGAGAACTAATAACTGAATGACTTTTTCTAGCACAATTTATATTAGATAGATACGATATATTAATTAAATAAGTAACCTGCAAGTCGAGATCGAGAATTTCAAGTTTCACTTGACCACCTAGAGGTACTGTGATCTTCCACAAGCAGTATATCCTAGCTGGAGTGGGTGTTGGATACCCAAAGGAGTGGAATGAACCCTCAGGACTATTGAGCTCCCCTCCACATTGTGTCATAGAGGACGTGAAGTTAAGTCGAAAACCCCTATAATTACCAAGGCTTTTTCCCGTTGAAGTTAAAGTGATGACAGCCTCATTAGACAATGTTTCAATGATGTTATCTACGTTTCTAAATCCGCACAATACGTGTGGCTCATTTCGTGAATCATTAGTACCATTGGGTAACATTCCCTCGATAGACATATGATCTGTGAGAGAGCAGTTTCTCCAGCCGGGTAGATGTAGATCGATAATTTCGAAACGGAGTGAATGATATTTGGGTCCGATGATCCACCAGGCACAATCACGTCCCTTCGGATAGGGATTCGGATAGTTTGGAGATGTGATGATGCCTGTTGACGCCCTGATAACTTCTCCACAGATTTCATCATCCGTCACTAAAGCATTGAAACCATTTCCCGGTACACTCATATCTGTGTAGTATTTGATGTATAGCATATTTCCTTTAGTCGATATGGTGCTTGGTGCTGTTCTACCACAATAAACACCCAGAACCAGTGCATGATCAGTTCCTCCATCCCTCACTTCAACATATTCTTTCTGACATTCTGCACTCGATGTCAAATCAAAACGGTCAATGAAGTGAAGAGATAACCTCCGTCCAGCTGGTGCCATAAATGTCCACAAGCACTCGGTATAAGGAGGTGGAACATTTGGATATCCAGGTGTTTTCACTTTTACCTCATTGATACCTTCCATCAATGTATAAGAACCTCCACATTCAACGCCAATCTCGCGATAAGATATTTTAACAATTGCCACCAGTGCTATCGCAGAAATTTTCACATATAATTTGTTACCGGTGGTCATCAAGGATTCATGTTCTTCTTCATTTGAAGAACAGTATTTTCCATCACCGAGGAAGGGAGAGTCTACCTCTTGACCATTTTTTAGAAGAACGTAATCATCTCCACATCCTTTTGCGTCTCTCTTTGGTAGCTGTATATCCTCTATGGTTACTTCAATCGATTTTCCACGGCTGACTGTAATATTCCAGTCGCACATCACTTGATATCTCGTTGTTCTATTGAAATTTATTACTCCATTGGGACCACCTAGTTGACCACCACATTCTCGAATAACTTCGGCCTTGAACCCAGTCCTATTCATGAAGCTATCTGTCAGAAATTTGACGGTCATGGTATTAGTGATACTTTCTACCCTACTGTCAGATTCGTTAGACCGACAGTATTTGCCGAGTAGATGGACATCTGGAGGTGGCTCCTCCGATAATGCTATCCCATCAAATACTGAAACCGAATCGCCATAGCAGTCATGACCCTCCTCAAGGTTAAGGTCCTTCAATTTGAATAATAAGTGAGTTCCTGGTGGAGATGTGATTAACCAATTGCAGTGCAATGAGTGGTTGTAACCGTCTGGATAGCCTGGTGAGGTAATCGTGTAATAGGAGTTGTTATCGTTCATGAGAGCAATTTCTTCATTGCAGTTTGATACTAGAATCCATTAAAAAAATATAGAGATTAATGTTTTGGTATTCTTTGACAGTTTATGACAAATTCTAAATAAAGTCTAGCAGAAATTCTTACAGTGAACAAGAGTATTGTCTTCCTTATCTATCGTCCTTGGAACTTCATAATATCGAATTTTGAACCAATTTCCTAATCTTTGTTTACCCCCTTGAAACATTAGGAACATCACGTTGCTAGTAGTTTGGAACGGCTCCGGGGACGTGGAACCACAGAAGTTATGAAGTTGTGGTGCATCTTCATCGTAGCCATCGAAAACCTAGTAGATCAATATTTTGCTCAATCAATCACAAGATCAATCATCAATAATCACTAGCAAAAAAAACATATACTCTTAAAAAGAACTTAAATTTCATGGTGCGTTAACAGGCTACCTGGCAAAGTGGGCGGTCAAAAAATCCAATCATATTTCAGTGAAAATATCACAAAGGCAAAATATGTCCTGTCCAAAATATCGCGAGATAAAAATTTCTCATGCCATAAATCCCATGGAACAGGCCGTATACAAAAACATCTTATGAAAAAGTATCACATGCCAAAATATTTGATGGAGTTTTCAATGTGCAATTGGATAAAATCGAAGTGGAACAACTATTCACCGATTTTCGGTAGTACCACAAGATGTGGAGTGTTATGTAAATTTTCTGTCTTCTATGAATAACGGCTGCAGTGAGAAGGACGTCGAAACTCGATATATACAGGAAATCTGAAATAAAGATGTGCCTAGGATCCGGATAGCTTAGTGAGGAGAGCACCAGATGCATAATTGGAAAACACCGGCTTCAAATTCCGGTCTAGACTATTCATTTTTTCAGTAAATTTTCCATGCAAAATTATATCGAGAATTATCCTGGTTTCCCTTTCTATATCATCCAAAATCCTATCCAACGATTTCCTGTGACGGCAGAAGATGTGGAACGCCATATAAATTTCCCATTTTTTATTTCCTTATTCCTTTCTTTTTCCGTTTCATTTTGTGGTGATATTTTTGTTTATGATTTTTTTGTTTGGAATATTTCTTGTCCGATATGTTATTTTATGAGCGATTTTTGTGTGAAATATTTTCGAGCTGGGATATTCATGTTCTGCGATATTTTTAGCTATGGGATTTTTTGCATGTGATGCTTTTACATATTGTGATATTTTGACATGAGATATTTTTTCTGTGATATTTTCACTGAGAACCGACAGCAAAACTCGAGGAGAGATGGACAACATATATATTGCTTTCCTCAACATTTATGTTTCTATTTTGAATTCATTCAAATTAAAATTTTAAGGTGATCTTCATTACATCAAGCATTCAGTTCCGAGTTTATTATTATTATATTTTATTATATTTACTGCAAATCACTTGAAGTACAAAAGTTTTGAGCAGCAGAATGAGCATTTCCAAACTTACTTGAATGTTTATTTGTAAATAAGAATCTCAGATAGAATCTAAATTAGAATGGAATCCCATGAGCCAAGTCAGTTATAATAGTGTATTGTGCATCGATGGCAGAAAGTCAGTGTTATCCCGCCCGAGGTGCTTATCCTATTTTTCAACATGTCTGCGAAGGAAACCGTGTTTTGCTGTCTGAAAAGCGGGAGGACAGTGAAAACTTTCCGCCCAAGGGTAGAAAATACCGACTTTCCTCCTGCTTATCAGGGAACAAAGTGCGAACCTTCCGTGCAGGTGTGTTGAAAAATAATTTATTCGCTGCAATATACTCAAAAATTTTTCAGATCGCCATAAGACCTCCAGAGAACCACTTATTTCTCGATTGGAACAAAGTTGTATAATTTCTTAATTTATTACTCCGCTGAATTTGGAAATAAAATATCAAATAAATATAAAAAAAACCATCACTGTACCTGGAGTCCATCTTGATACTCATCGCACGTGAGATCACCAAAGTTGTCAATATGGAAATCATCAAACTCGACTTTGATGGAGAAACCAGACTGAACTGTAACCCTCCAGGTAACTGGATTATAATTAGTATATGCGTGTGGATAAAGTGGGGATGCAATAACTCCAAAAGGTCCGAAAAGCTCCGAGCCATGGTTGAATGTGTACTCAGCAACAAATCCTTCTGCAGTACCGTGTTCATCGCTTCTAAATTTCATCCAAAGGGTTTTATTAGATTGTACAGTTCCAATCTCTGTGCCACAGTAAACCCCGATAATCTTCCCTATTGACGAATCTTCCCTAATTTCCAGATAATCTCGATCACAATTGTCACTGCGTTCGATATTAAATTTCGAAAAGGTCAAAGTAATTCCATTGCCAGCAGCTGTATGCAGAGTCCATTCACATTCTGCATTCGTGGCATAACTTTTCGGGTATCCAGGAGATGCTAGAGTGCCTGATTCTGCATAGTATTCACCTCCACACGCTGAAATAAATACATTTTTCAAAAATCAATCTCAAAGAGATTCTAATTTGAGTTTCAAATATCTTGAGTTATTAAACTCATATCTTACGCATACAATAATAAATAATAAGCATGAAGAAATTATTTTTTCAATCTAACCAGTAGCGCGAACTCACCTGAATCCAAGGCCGAGTATGTAGCGCCGAAGGACACATCGCTGTAGTAAAAAGTAACAAGATGAATAGTCAGAGTATTTCCACTGCTGACAATTGGTGGAGGTGCCTTGGATTCGCACCATTGACCATTAACTGGTCCGTCTGTACCCTCCCCTTCATAAACCTTGAGATAATGACTAGTACAGTTGTCTTCACAAGACCCCCACCGACAATTCATGTCCATATGAGAGATAGTCAAAGTGATATGGTCAGCGGGATTTTCAGCAGAAATAATCCAACTGCAGTTGAGACCATCCTCATGCTGGAGATGTAAATCTGAAGCTGTCGTTAAGAACCCAGTTCCATTCGTGACGATGCGAGCACCACAGGCTCGCTGGAAGTCCGCTTGAAATCCTTTGGCTGTCTGTGCAGGATCACTTCTCATGACAACCAGAAGACTATCACCAGACGATATTATTGGTGATGGTATAGTCTTTCCGCAGAAAGTCTCGAGAAGATTGTGTTCCCTCGTAGGTCCATCGAAAACCTTGATGTAATCCATAATGCAATCTGTACTCCCTTCAAGATCTACATCGACGAATGTGAGATTGATAAGATGATGTTCACCAACTTCGATCAACCACTCGCAGTTCTGATTCACTGGATAATTCATCGGATAATTTTGAGAATGAATGGAGCCTTGAGATGCTTTGATCCGACCACCACACATTCTCTGGACTTGTGCGAAATTAGCAGTAAATCCTCTGCCTGCGTGATTCCAATCCGAATGCAGTTTGATAAATATGCTATTGATGGGACTGACATAGAGAATTGGAGTTTTCGAATGGCAAAACTCTCCAAGCTTTGGTGCACTCTCATCCACTCCACCATATACCTCAATTATGTCCATCATGCAACTACTTTCTTTCTCAGTATCAACGTCTGTAAAATTAATTTGTACACTGTATCCATAGTCAACTTCGATAGTCCATTCACAATCGATATTGGTTGGATATTTATTTGGATACCCTGGAGATGTGACGGTGCCCTGTTGTTTTTTAATATGTCCACCACATCCGTTTACAACCCACTCGAGTCTGAAGCCGCCGAAATGAGATTCACTATCAGTTCGGAAAGTAATGAAAACCTGATTTTCAGTTGATACAATTTTGGGGGGAAGTGTCATACCCTCCGTGGCACAAAAACGACCGAGTTCGGTTACGGGTGAACCGTATGAGCCCTCCTTGATTTCAAGATAATCAAACTTGCACGGACTGTCGGTGTAAGGATTTTCTGGCTCAAGATCGAAATGCGAGAAGGAGATATTAATCTTGTTTCCCATAGGTGCATCAATGATCCAAGTGCAGTTACAGTTTGGTGGGTATCTATTAGGGAAATTAGGAGATTCAATAACTCCGCTATGAGCATGTAGTGTATTTTGACAAAGGGTGTTATATTTAATATGAAAACCACGGCCATTTCCAAAAAACGTGCGATACTGAAGTGTGGCGTCGTTAGAATTCAAGTGGATTAGCGATTGATTCTCAGTACTGCAGTACTTCTGCTTATTCTTGACAATTCCATTGATACCCTCGGAAATCTCTAAGTATTCTGTTGTGCACCTAGACGCTCTTTCACCAAAGTCTATATCGACGAGAATAATCTGAATTTGATTTCCTCTTGCAATTGAAATGGTCCAGGTGCAAACAGATACTGATGACGTTGATATAGGGTAATTTGGAGACATAATGTCCTCAGAACTTTTGGTTAATGTTCCCCCACATCCCATTTGTGTTGCATCCCACTCGATTCGAAATCCTGGTGCACTTAGAGAATCGTCCGACTTGAATCTCAAGTACAGATAGTTTGTAAAACTCCGGATCACGGTAGGTATATCCTCCCCGCAGTATTTGCCGATCAATGGAGATGTTTCATGTGCACCATTCCTGATTTCCAAGTGATCAAACCTACAGTTGTTCGATACCTCGAGATCAAATGTCTCAACCGTCAACATAATTTGGGACCTAGCAGGCCCTTCAATAATCCAAACACAGTCCCTCCCACCGGCATATCTTTTAGGCCACTCTGGAGTCGTGATAACACCAACGGAACTGAAATATCGGCCACCACAGGACTTTGAGGCATCGATGAATATGTATTCCCCGAGGAAACCATCACCGTGGACTGTGTCGTCGGACTTGAAGGCAATATTCATGATGTTGCCTAGAGTGATGATTTCAGGTGGTTTTGTGTGACCACAGTACTTCCCTATTAACAATTCTTCATTGTTAAATTGTTCCGTTATCTCAACGTAATCATGCCTACACCGGCTGTTGCCTTCCAAGCTCCACAACATCCATGAGAGGTGAATAACATGACCGATGGGTGCCTGAATAGTCCACGAACATTCCTCATTTTCGGAATATCCATCATTCCCTCCGGGACTCACAATGCTCCCAGAATTATTCTTCAAAAGGCCTCCACATCGTCTATCAACAGTTGAGTAATTCGCCTGGAATCCACGAAAAGAGTAGCTGCCATCAGTTTGAAATTCAAGATACATGTAATTGTTGGAAGAATAAAATGGTGTATCTGGAATTTTCTCTTCACCACCGCAGAGTTCTGCGAGTTTCGTCGAGTTGCTACTGTCTCCATCATATATATCCAAGTGATCGAAATAACAGTCAGAATGCCAGTGTCCTTCTATGTCCAAATCGGTTATTTGGAGGACAATACCCTTATTAGGGGGTTGTATAATTTCATAAAAGCAGTTCTTATCATCGGGATAGCTTGATGGATAGTAGGGAGATGCGAATATACCTGAGGGCTCGTGGAACTCTCCACCACAATGTGTATCGTATTTTATAGTGAAACCTTTTCCATGGAAACTACTGTCTGTGCTGAAGACTATTATCGCTACGTTGGTAGTCAGAGTTCTCGGTAAAGGTAGATTTGTTCCACAATACTTTCCCACAACCGGAGATTCTTCGTCGGGTCCCTCATAGATTTCGACAAAGTCATAATAACAGTATTTCTGATCTTCGATGTCGATTTCCTGCCAGACTAGGCGAATTTTTTCCCCCTGAGGTAGTTGGATCTTCCAGGTGCATTCGAGCCCGGCTTCATATCGACCCTGAACCACTGGAGAGGAGATTGTACCTTGGGGAGCAGTGTGAATACCACCACATCCTGGGTAAGCCTCGATGGTGCTGTAACCGATTTGAAAACCCTGGTCTTGAGTGTCTCCGTCAGAATGGAAGTATAAGATCGCTGTTGATCCAGACGTGAAGAGAGGCTCTGGCAGCATGTGCCCACAGTAGCGTTGCAATTGGATCTGTCTTTCACCAACCGTTTCGTTGATTTGAAGATAATCTTTGGCGCACGTTGTGTTGCTTTCCAATTGAAAAGTGAAGAAATGGAACTGAATCCTTCGTCCTGGAGAGACATTGATCTCCCATTGGCAGTCTCTGTTCAACGGATACTTTCCTGGACTACCTGGCGAACTGATTGCTCCGTGATCTGATGTTAAGTAACCACCGCACTTCGGGGGAATGCTGTTCCAATGGAGGGTGAAGCCTTGATCTGTTTCAACACTTGCCACGTGTGACCATATGTACAGACTGTTGTGGGTGGAAATGATGTTTCCACCACTAGGTAGTTTGGTACCACAAAATCTACCAATGTGGTGGTCTGATGTACCCGTACCATCGTGAATCTGTATAAAATAATAATTTGATTAAATGATTTTTCACTCTGCCTTCATCGCTTATGAAATTCACACGCGTATTGCGGGCGCTTCGCACCCACCATTTATCGCTCATGGACAAATATGAATCATCTTTCATACTCAATTATTACTTCTTTTCATATCTTTGTTTTTCATCAATTATCACTCCATTTTCATTGAGTTTTCAGATACAAATTTATAGTTATTTCATAAATATGAAATACGTTGCCGAATTTATAACCACTTTGGACCTTCTTTCATTTACTTCCAAATGAGATTTCAATAACGCTATAATTGTAAGTCCAATAATACTATACAATTGATAAATCCTTAGAAAGGGTACTTTCTAACTTAATCATTACACAGACTATAAAAGTTAATATTCATAAGTTCCTCAGTCAATCGGTGTAATACAGCACTTGAGTAATTTTTAATTCCTCCAAACTATTATTAATATTAATAACATCATCCACCAAAATAAGTGAGATGACTCAAAGAGATTGAATTCGTAATAGCCGCTCAGGTCGGATATCTATTTACCTCAGGATATACCTCAAAATAATAAAAATTATAGAACGGAATAAGTTGAAAATGGAATCAACTCTAATATACTTTTATTCATCGGTCAATCTTCAAAACAGGATTTTAGCTTTGAAATGAACCTCAAAAAATTCGGACAAGGACCATAAATATGATGGACCCTACTAACAATTGAATGCAGACTAGATTGCAGTATAGATTCTTACACACCTTCACAGACTCTTATCAACCTGTACAGACCCTTAAGGTTGTTGTCGCGCGACAGTCTCGGTAAAAAGTTTATCCGCTGTAAAACGGGCCAGTTTAGAACACAATCTTTTAGCGGTATATAGTCTCACTTGATTGATCGCATTGTGCATGGATAGCTAAAGCATAACTATATATTTTCCATATTAACTATTTTCAATTATATAAATTTATGAATTTCCGATAATTATATTCCGTAAACCAAACGGTCAATCGATTTGTTTTTTTTTTCTGTATTTCCTCCCACGATGTATATTCCACGTTTTTTTTCATTTCTGAAACTGTCGAACCGTTGATTTTTAAAAAATTCTAATCGGCAAAACTCCATTTAAGCACGTGTTAAATCACTCGAATTTCAAAAATTTATATCTCAAGTTCAAAACGGTCAATTGCAAACGAAAAAGGCTCATTTTGTTGCTAATTTTTCAAACTATTCACCATAAAATTTTTAACGAAAACTGTCGAAAAAAAATTCTACGCGACAACAACCTTAAAAGCCATTACAGGCCGTTATATATAAGGTCTATAGAGTCTATAATAATATAGACCCTTAGACTCTCAAAGACTCTTTGTAGAGATTCGAATATATCAGTAACAACAAAGGTTGCATTAGACTTGCCTATAACGGATTCGAAAGCTTAGCTTAGGACCTTTCTAACAATATATAGCATGCTTAATCTCGGTGAGAAGGAAAGGGTGGTCCTGAGAAAACGTCTTGATTGAATGCGAAATTGATGATTTTCTTTCAATCAAACTAATGAATGACCCGTGTATCGTCTTCATATGATGTAAATGTGAAGAAAAATAACAGAAAGTCCGAATTCTGAGGCAATTTTTTTTCAACGATTATAGTATAGTAATAATTATAATAGTAGGCGTGGGCAAGTTGACATCTCCATCGCCGAATGGGATGGTATTCCATTCCATTCCAACAGCTGGGGGGGACCTGACGACAGAAGGCATCAGGTTAGCCATTTATTCTATATGGACGATCTGAAGTTCTAAAGTTTGCCTCTGGAGACCGACATCTCAAGATTCAACTTGATGCTGTAGCTGTGTATTCTCGAGCAGTTGGCATGAAGTTTGAATTGGACCAGTGCGCCGTTTTCTAAATGAAGAGAGGGAAGTTTGAGCATGGAGAAAACCTTCAATTGGTGAATGGAAGCGTCATCGGACATCTTGGCGGTGAAGAGTCTTTATCGATATCTTGGCTTCAGTCAGCGATCTGTAGTAGAGGCTGAGGTGGTCAAGCAGACTCTTCGTGAGGAGTATCGTCGGCGGCTTTGGAACGTTTGGATGTCCGAACTTTTTTGGAAAGAACAAGGTGACCGTAACAAACATGTTTGCTGTCCCAGTTCTCCTGTACTCCTTTAGGGTGCTTAAATGGAGGAGGGATGAGCTGAAATAGTGGGACCGAGATACTCGTAAGCTCATGAAAATGCAACAGAGACTTCACTCCCAATCTTCGTGTCCACGTTTATACTTTCCACGTGATCGTGTCGAGGGTTACTCAATTCGGGGTCTCTCCATGAGCTCTTGGTCTTTGGCTTGGCTTGTGACGTCATGAATGCCCTGGATCTTTTCTTTGAGCATGTGCATCATCAGGAGCTTCATGGGGTTCAAGCTTTTCTGTACAAGGCGGCGGATACTGCGGTCGGGACTCTTGGTTTAGAATTCCGTCGTGGTAGAAGCGGTCAGCTACCTCGTACATACCTACATACCTCGGTCAAAAGTACGTACTTTCTGCTCCGATTTTGAAGCAGAAAGTCTACATTTCATGCATTGGTCAAGCTACTCTACAACAGGGGGAGTAAAAAATTACTATGTGCACTCATACTCAATACATGAGACTCCTATTATACTCCCTCTCTACCGTTCATGCAAATTCGTTTCATGCGATAGGTGCTTCGCTCGGTGCTTGCTCGCTTCGCTCGTTAAAATTGCAGATTACGGAGCCAATGACATGAAATAGTATACGAAACACGTGCATTATGAATTTTTTGACTCGTGGGATTGTAAAACTCGCCTGCGGCTCGTGTGGCAATTCTCTCACAAGTCCAAAAATCCATAACTTAAAAGTTTGTTTACCGGAAAAGGATGCTATTGTTTGTCAAGGAAACTAATTGAGAAAGTGCTATGTGTTACATAAGAATTTAAAAAAATGAACGAAATATCGTCTGATATCAAGAAATTCAATTTTCTGCCCTGGTAGTCTAGTATACTATTTATTAGAGGAAATTTTTCCAGAAAAGTATCTAAGTGTCAAATATTCGGATAAACCCACCTGCAGAAAATTGTTGGGACATGCAGGAGGAGTGCTGTCGAATTTGAACCTGGTGAAAGTGACGTTCAATACCAGACTATGATTAGTTATAAAAATGAAGGCACAGGATCGTCCTTGAGAATCACGTCCACCGTCAGGAGGATACGATAAAGTTCCAGAGGGATCTCTGAGGTATCCACCACAGTTTCTCTTCGGTGTTTCACATCTGGGTCCTTGATAAGTAGCTGTGCATTCACAAGTAACAGTATTATCGGAAGCTCTAGTACAAATTCCACTATTCCTGCAGGGGTTTGGAACACATGGATTCACCGCAATCTCACAATGACTTCCAGAGTATCCTGACTGGCAGTTACAAATGAAACTGTGACCTTGCTGAACGCAACTCCCATGAATGCAAGGGTTCATCGCACAGGGATTCGAAACGGCTGATATGGTACAGCCATTGAAACCGAGTCCATCGCCTATGTATCCAGCTGGGCATCGGCACTGAACTAGGGAATTCGTTGATTCGATACAGGTTGCTAAATGATGACATCCTCCATTATTTATTCTACAGGTGCCATAGTACGTGCAAGTTTCACCATCGCCTGAGTATCCTGGAGGACATGGTCCACAGATTCGTGATCCCTGGAAAAAAAATGGCGTCGGGCAATGTGTAAGGAACTCGTCTAGATATTCTAATGATTATTTTTGAAGCTTGGATTCCAGCCAATCAAAGCGTAGTATTTGAGTCTGTCAAACAGTTTTATTTCGGGAATTTTTTTTTCATCACGACGAAAATTCAATAATAGCTTTTCACACATTTCTCGTCTAAATGAGTCACTTTGGAAGAATTCCTCTGAAAATCAATTTCTTGCATTATTTGTCAAATTATTTTATTTTAATAGTCAAATTATTCTTGTAGAATTTTTCGTTGTGCATGATTGTGTGAATGTATTCGGATACTATTCACTGCACTATAGACACTGTTTGGCGAAACTTCTAATTGAAACATAATCCATCAAATACTGCTCAGGCTTAAAAAATAATCCATTATTTTGGTCAAGCTTTAACCGTGCAAATTAACTCGGCAGAAGTAATATTAACGTGAAGAAATGCCCGTGCATTCGCTAATGAAAAATTTTTCTAACTTTTCTAAAGGTATATGACATTTCATTGTATTGACATTTCATTACCGGCACATTTCTGCAGTGAACTTTCGGTACTGTACTGCACCCTCCATTATCAACCAGACACTCATCAATATCTCTGCAAAAATATCCAGTACCGGAATATCCAGCTGGGCAATTGCCGCAATGGAAGCTTCCTCTCAAATTAATGCATTCAACTTCCGGATTTACGGAGCATACAGGGTGCTTCCCAGCGCACTCATCGACATCAACTATACAGGCTGGGTTTGCTCCATCAGATTTCCAACCCTATATTAAAAAATAGTGTACATTATCCCTTCCATCATGTACTATCCACATCAAAGAATATAAAGAATGACTATTTAAAATGATGGGCGCTTCGTTAAAAATTATTTAATTATTATCACATTGAATGTTAAATTGATTGGTTCGAAAAAAACAAAATTTTTTGTCTTTGTGTAATGACCTATTAAATTTCGTACAAAACAAAATCGTTGTAGCATAACAAATTACTATTCGAAACCCATTTCATTTTAATAATAATTATTATTAGCTTGTGTGCGGTATTTACGTCTTCTTTCCATTTTCGGGGAACCCCCTTGATAGTTTAGTTTTTAGTTTTTTTAGTTTTTATCAATCTACTAATTGCTAAATACTTAATTCATTTAAGTTAATCACCAGGGATTATACTCTGGCCCCGGATGGAATTGCACATGAAATTAGCGTCTTTTAAAAAATCTATTTATATTGACTTAAAATTTTTTTAAAAGTTGAAAGTTCAGATGGAAACCAATTTTAATGAGTATCCGTTTTATCCCAGGTGTCCATATAAGGGATCGGCACCAATATTATTTTCATTTATATTCGTGTTAATAAGATTCGACATTTAGTTGATGTTATCATAATCTTCATTGGTTGATGTATAATTGACGACTCATACCTCATGGGAATTCTAGATTTGTCATTATGGCCGGTGCACTATTTTTATTTCTGTTAAGATTCTTATTGGTAGCACATTCATCATTTATTTTAGTGCATCATTATTTGTGTTGGCGGGTTGGATTTAATTTTTTCATTTACTCTTCACTGATGTTCATATTAATATAATTTCAACTTTGTTTGTTCATTTGAGCTATCTTTGGTCGGTATGACCTCAAGCTCCCCTATTCCTTTTCTATACAGAATATATAAGGGATATTGATAAAAATAAATACCTGATCGCATAAACAAGTGTAACCCAGAGGTGTTCCTTTCTGATCGACGCATACTCCGTTCCCACATAATTCCCGAGAGTCTGCTGCATCGCAAGCTGATTTACTCGAAGTACAGTGGACACCGAACCATCCTTTCGTGCAAGAACAACTGCAAGAATATGATTATACAATAATTACCAATTTATTAACGATCTGGGTAGAAAATTTCTATACTCATATAATGAAAACAGAAAAATTCAGGGACCTGTTATTTAATGTTGGATAAGCAAAGACCAAAGTTGTGAGGATAGAAAGTTCGAGTTATACTGATTGAAAAGAATGTTTCTTCAATTGGACTAAAGTAATCGGTTCCGTGGGCCTCCATAATAATTCTCTAACATTAGTCTTTAAGAATTATTTCAAAATATAGAGGAGCCTGGGGTAAAACAGACACACATTAAAAATTGTTTCATTCTGAATTTTCGCCATTTTTCAATATTTAAAGAAAAATAAATGAATGAATTACGTATTTAGAAATTAATCCACGGACAGACTGTGAGACGCAGCTGCCATACATCGAAGAACACCTAAAATTCTACTTCAATATTCTTCAATGGTATTTCTCGATAAATGTATTATATCGTTAAGCAACTTTTTAAAATGTTTTAAACCGTCAATTTGAAATTCAATCTAGTAATAATTGAATAATTTTTTACGAGGGGATTATCATAATAAACAGTCATGATTCGACAAAGATATTCGATATGTTAATTACTACTACACCAATTTAAATTTAAACATGTCCATGTCCATGTTATTATTATGTCCATATTACCCCAGGCTTCTCTCTTTATTTATATCTTCGTAATAGACAATTAACGCACGTGTAAGAACCCAGTGTATTAACACAAGTCGCTCCGTTCTGACACCCCAGATCAGTTCCAGCATATATTCCGCATTCATTGACGTCACTTCCACATGAGGGACCCTGCAAAATAAATTGATTGAACAGTCGTGTTATATCGGAGATAAGAAAAAAATGCATGTGTCCTGATGAGTGAAACGTTGATAATACAGTAACCCCACTTACCAACACGAGCTGTGGGCTTCCCCAGATTATTTAGTTCAGTGTACTTGTCAGTATACTTCTACACCTACCGCAAAAGTTATTAAACTATTTCTGAAAAGTATACCTATTACTTCTCTTCAGTACTTTTACTTACTTTCGAAAAAGGTCTTTGGTACTTATGAAAATTATTTTTTTTTACTTTTCAAAAGCATATTTGATGCATAATTGTAATGTTATTATAATGTATTCGTATTCCGTAGTTTTCACTGGAAATTTTGGTGATGGGGGAAGAAAGGGTTGGTTTATACCGACCATTAAATTTTCTAATTAAAAGAAAAAAATCCTAATAGTGGCACGCAATATACTTCTGAAATGTTTTTTAGTTTACGGATGATGAGTATTTTTAAAAATTTATGAAAAGTAACATTTATACTTTTCAAGTTTTTATAAAATTTCGGCTAAAATATTTAGTCGCAGTAATTTTCCGACGTTCCATAAGTAAGGAGTGGGATGAAAGCTAGGATAAGAGATTCCTCTTCATACTTTTCAAAGATAGTTCCTTGATTAACTACAGGTAATAAATTTTTAAAATCTGTAGATGCTGCCATATGAGTTCTGAACAAACAGAATTTTTAAAAAATATACAAACCTGCCAATTCGTTGGACAAAGGCACTGATATCCATCATAAACCCTGATACACGTTCCTCCATTTAAGCACGGATTATTGGCACATTTGTTGTTTTTCAATTTTGTCTGTATTTTCTTAATTTTATCTGCCAAATTGTTAACCTTGAAGAAAAACGAGTGAATTTGGTCATTCAATTGTAAAAATTATAAAGCAAAATGATCAATTTCACTTACACGCCAATTTAACGTCGACAGATCCATGTCGGAATCCTGGAAAAAATTATTTTCACTGTTGACAAATAATTACAGTTCACTGTACGTATAATTAAAAATTTACCCGAGTGGCTGGACGTGAAGTCGATGAATTTCCGGTATTTCTCCACCATCCTCCCTCCAATTTTCTGACAAGCCCATCAGGACCTTCAACAGTGTGGACCAATCTCTCCACCCGGTTTTGCAAGTCTTGCCACGATCCTCTTTTCCAATTCTCCACGTATTGAGCTGCGTGTGTCGCCTTCACAAAGAAAATACCAAAGATCATGTTTATTAATTACCAAAGAACGATTGTATCAATAGATTCCCTCTGCGAATACAATAATAAACAATAAAAAATACAAAATAACTAAAAGTCCACTTCCGGAATCATTCGGTTTTACACTAATGACATGAATAGAAATTCAGAATGGAAATTTTTGAAAGAACAATTACCGCATGAGCAGATTCCACAAGATTCAGATCATTTATTGTCAGGAAGCCTTTTCCCCGAGTTTTTATAGTGACATTTTTATCCTGCGCGCTCCATATTATCAGGTGCCCGTCAACGGACTCCAAAACAGGTCTACAACATATTTAAGGAAAATTTCACAAAGTATTTCCCATTTATACAGAAATTCAATTATTAAGGCGTATACACTATCTAATCGACCGTAGTCTTTGGTTTGAATTTTATCTCGTTATACTAAATTATTCTGAAATCGGAGTTTCAAATTGTCTTGCGGAAATGACTTCAGTGATTATAAAAAATAATTATAAAAAAGAGGAGAAATTATTGAAAGGCAGCAGATGGAGATATTGATTTCAAGGGATTTGACATGTTCACTGAAGAATCATTAAATATATCCAGTTTACCAGTCGCCATAAAATCAAAATGGAATTTCAAATATACAAATGGTAAACTGCATGTCTTCAATGATTTTTCTGTAAACTTTGCAGATCCTTTAGAATTAGTGTTCCCATCTGTCACACTTCAGCACAGTTTCCCTTTTTATATCATTAATTTGTTATAACCATTCGAATAGTTTCCGTATCACTCTTTAAAACCAAAATTCAATAGGTAGTACATGTGGGTCTTAAGGCTGTTTAACACCTTTTTAGCCGAAATTCACGTTCTTTACAACGAAAAATATAACATGTGTGCGTTTTATGATTATTTAATGATTCATGCAATTTTACGAAGTAGTGCAATCATTCTGCTGCATTTTTTTGTCAACAGTTTTGTGATTTCTTCCAAATGTTTAAAAGATTCCTTCCAAATGTTTAAAAGATTCCTTCCAAATGTTTAAAAGATTCCTTCCAAATGTTTAAAAGATTCCTTCCAAATGTTTAAAAGATTCATTCCAAATGTTTAAAAAAACGCAGAATAATGGTTGCATGACCTTCCACCTTCGTGAATCATTAGATAATCACAAACCACAAAAATGTTATATTTTTTCATGTCAATGCCATTGATAATTTGATTTAAAAAAAAATGAACGACGTGAATTTTGGGGGAGATTGTGTAGAGCACTTCATTCAAAATTTTCATCCCTTTCCTATTACAAAATTTTCTAAGATTTCTGAAATGACACCTTTCGTTTTGCCAAGCAGAATACTGTCTTGAACTGAGAATCAGGAACAGTAGGAGCCGGAGTACCCTGTGCTCCATTACTGCAGTGAACCCCAACTTCACTTATTATTCAAAAACCCAATTCTCCACCAAAATTATCGGGTAATATTTTTCAGAGAATCTCTAACGATGAGTGCCAACTGGAAACTAACACCAGACACCTCTTTTCTGAGTGGAGAGTAATCTGGCTTTTAGTGGGCGTGTAGAAAAATGATATGCATCGTATCCCACAAAATATCAAATTTCATTGACTTCACCATTGATCGTATGAAGAGAATATTCTTGAATATTGTAATAATCCGTTTTAAACAGTTTATGATAATAATTAAAATAAATTTGACAGACAACACTAATTTGCTATTCGCTTTTTTTTGGAAAAAATGACAGAGTTCAGGTCTGAGGTCAGTACCTCAATAGATATCCAAAGTCGTGTTTCTTCTGCTGAATTATTTCCACACAATGCCCATTTGTTATCAATGAATATGAATGATAACCATTAAATTGCTCTAGAAGATATTGGCTATAACCTTAACTCCACCAAACCATTGTATATTTAGGATGTTGTATATTTAGGTAGATGGGCTTCCGCCGCCTAATTAAGGATCTAGGCACAATTTTGGAGGGAAACAATTAGCTTGGGAGAAATTGATGCTAATATACTACTCTCTGCATTATCCAGGACCACGACGAGAACGTGGCGGTGTTGTCGACCTCAAAAACAGCACATGTTGGTACATTTATAGACAATGGACACAGAAAATTAAATTTTATAAAATAGTCCTGAGCACTTAACTAATACTCTGAATTCACCTCACCCGGCCACCGCCGCTTTTTTTATCCGCCGCTACCTTTCTGTGGCAATTCAAATTATTCAATATAATATCAATATAATATCAATATAATATCAATATAATATCGTAAAAGCGACAGCAGGGGAAGAAGGGCTTCCAGGGACAACAGAGTTTACCTCCGAACTATTTTTTAATGCAGTTTTCTCCATGTTGCCATTACCTCTCTTCTGCTTAGCTATTTCCGCATACCGAGAGGAGACGAATCGATTTTTCTTGGATAAATTAATATTGTAACGATTATTGTTTACGATTTGTTTGATAGGCCTAAATCAGACATTTACCAAAAAATTGATATTTTAACAATATACACAAAATTCACAGTCAGTTATTACTACCCCATTAAATTACAATGTTCGGTAATTAAGTATTGGAGCTCCGCCGAACTTTCCTTCTTCTTATCTTCTATATAATTTTTATAATTCATAGAATTTCTATTATATTCAATTGACCGTGGGGTAAAGTACTGTTAAACTCACGGGTACTTAGCATTGCCCAGGGAACATAACATCGCCTAAATTCAGCAAAAATGTCGCTAAAATATTTTCTGAGAGAATACGGTATCTCGACGATGCAGACGATTTGTTTATTAGTGACTATTGATTCATCTACACGGAGAGGAAAAGTTTGTAAAAATTACCTAAGCATTTGGCAATCGCCTTGTCTTTTAACCGTTCAAAGGAAATTAACTAGAACCTAGGTACATTTTCTCAAACGGTTAGTTAATTTTCATTAAGCAGTACAGTAACTTTCCCTAGATGTCTGACACACAACACGATCACCAAACGAATAGGTAATTTTTGTTGACTTGTCCTCTTTTGTTCCCTAGGCCGGGTAATCTCAACTTTTGAAAACAATTTTTTTGAATTTTTTCACGGAAAATTTCTTGAAAATCGTCCATTAAAAAATATTTTTCGGGCAAAAAAGGTCGAACGAATATGAAATTGAACAAACAATGAGAATCAAAGCTATTTCCAAATGCCAGTGACCTTTTCAAACCATTAGTATCCATCTATCATCTAGCACGAGCATGTATATCATTAAAAGTGCAGTGCACTGGAGGCAAAATAGATAGAAAATATGGTAATCTACACGAATCCATGTGCACTATAGTGGTGGAAAGGTTCGTGCGATTCCACTGGCATCACTCGATTAATATGCCAGGTAGTGTAGTGATCTGGACGTGGAAGTGGTCGGACGGCTAGTTCGCCAACACCTGGGCACAAAAATTCAAATAGCCTCACAGAAATTTCCATTTTTCAAACATGGTGAGTGCTATACCATTAAAAATACTCTTTTAAAAATCGAGAAAACTTCTTGTACACCCTATGATATTGTTACCACCCTTTGCCACCCTGTTATTATGAAGCTATCATAAGTATATGATTTATTTATGAAGGCTATAGGTCGATTCTACCCTCGCATTATCAACAAAACTGTCAAACAATATGAAAGTAATAATCAATAATTGAATTTATATACTATACGACGAAATTAAATATATTTTTTTTAATTTACTTTAGAGCTTTTCACAGCAGTTCGAAAGAATGATTACCTGTTTTATTTACTCATTAATCAAAATCAATAGAACTTATTCATAAATTCTCATTATAGACTTATTGCCACACAGTTTTTGGGTGTTTTTCATTAATGATTGATTAATCATGTGGAGTCAATCTTTTTTTTCAACGCTATCCAATACTGTGAAGCGTATAGAATTCCGATGGAATAAGGAAAAATAAAAGAGAATATTGGCAACTATCATCAACTAGTTAGAGTAATTGCAGTTCTATTTAATTGGAACAGAGGAAAGAAGAGTAGGCAACAGAAATGAAATGTTGACAATTATTTTGATTACCATTATTCATAGAAAACAATATCTTTCATCTACGCAGACACGATCTAGGTGCTATGGTTACAGCTCGACAACCTTTGAAATCGATTCCATCCGAGTTGCATGCTATATGCTAGTGCACGTAAACGATCGGACTAAACCTATCCCCTTTGTCCCTAATGTTAACAATGCTGATATGGCAAAGAGACATACTCTTGCAATTTTGTCGAAAGAGTGTGATTTATTGATGGGCTTTCGGGCTAGGTCAAGGCATGACTTTTTATATAGGTGTTCGAGGTGACTTAAAGACATGTAGAATGTCGAGGGGAATTAGTTGCGATTTAACTTGAGGCACGAACGTGTCGATTTCATTATTTCTTACATCCTTTATTTTACTCTCTGTATCATTTAATTTATCATTCACTCCTCATTTTTAGTTTGATTGAAAGAACTGAGGAATGGCTTTTATAAATGAACGAATGGCGAAGAAGGTACGTGAAAATCAGGATAGGGTATACAGAAATATGTTAACATAAACATTGGAAGTTTAAAAAATCATGTTTCACGGGTTACGAGATTTAAATGACGATTAAGATTAAAATGTAAATTATTAAACACTCAAACTTAACATAAATTATATTATTAGAATTGTAAAATATTATACATATTAAACTTCTAGCCAAAATTACGGGTTTTTTAAAAATATTTCTGGGTTTATTTTAAGCTTTTCAAAAATTCATAAATCTTTAGAGAAAACCACAGATAAATTATTACACGCTGATGAAACTTTATGAGTAATGAAATAATGATGAAATAAAAGACAAACAGTAATTCTGACTGGAAGAGCAAAATATTTTTAAAATAGTCGTAAGTTTCCATTAAATTTTTTATAACAAGGGGAAGCGAGTACATTCGCAATCTGTGGGGAACATGAAAGTAAATAAAAAAAATGTATAATGTGCTGGCCTCCCCGATTCAATTGTCATGTGCTTGAGATAAAAATTGTTGGACAAGTTGATTGACGTTATGTGTGTTTACTTCCAACAGCGCGAGTGTATATCGATACATATTGGCCAAGCGGGAGTGCAAATGGGAAATGCTTGCTGGGAGTTGTATTGTCTGGAGCACGGAATTCAACCCGATGGCCACATGCCAACCGATGAGACATCCACCAGGAGAGACGATTCCTTCGGCACATTTTTCTCGGAGAGTGACACCGGCAAGCATGTCCCCAGGGCTGTTTTCGTTGATTTGGAACCGACTGTTGTAGGCAAGATTTTTATCCTCTATAGAATATCAATGGACATTTATCTTAGAAGCAAGTCTTGGTAATCACCTATTGTTCAAACTTCCACTGAGGAAAACATATTTTTTCTCTCAAGTATATTTAGTGACCACAAGAAAAAATCGCTGGTATTAGCATATCTTATGGAAGTACTTATACACATTTACTCATGGGAAATATATATATTTGGCAAAAGAAGTTTTTTTTGTCAGTGCTGTTATATTCAATGAATTGATCACTCGGAAAAAATAAAATGAGTAATTTTTTATGCTTGGATACACTCGAAAAAATAATGAAAAACTACTTTTCAAACATTTTTATTAAAGTTTAGGTAAAATACTTAGTCATAGTAATTTTCTGACTTTTTATAAGTAAGAAAAGGGACAGGAATGCCAAATCTTCTGATTTCTGCAAGCCGATTTTTTTATTTTTGACAAGTTGATGCATTTTACATGTATCATAACAGTAATATTATAAAGTATAATGTATTTCCAGATAATCTCATGTAATGTCCATTATTGTGGTTCACTGAGACTGATCATTAATGAAAAAAAAAAAAACACAAAAAACTTTTTTAAAAAGACCAGAAAATGATATCCTTGGAATGGGACGAAAGGTTTCTGTCAATACTGTCAAGTAATTTCCTGACTAACCAGAAGTAATCAATTTTTAGAATATAAACAATTCGGACTCAATTTTATTCTTGATTCCGTTTAGTTGTGTTATCAGTTGATGATTCTTTCAGTTTGGCATTAAAATTCATTGAAAGTTATTACCAATTGATACCCTCTCGGAATTTTGTTCCCGAAGATAAGAAAATGTAATTTTTTGCCGTTAACTTGTGGAAAAGAACTGTTATGGGATGAGAATGTAGTTAAATTAAATGGAATTCAATGAGATGGAATGAGTGATTACGAAACTAATATGTTTGTTGGAATTGTGGTTATTTGAAAATTTAGATGAGGTGAGAACAGGCACATACAGACAACTATTTCACCCTGAACAATTAATAACCGGAAAAGAAGACGCAGCGAACAATTACGCTCGGGGTCATTACACAATTGGAAAGGAAATAGTTGACCTAACACTGGATCGAATTCGTAGACTAGCAGAGCAATGTCGTGGCCTCCAGGGCTTCCTCATATTCCATTCGTTCGGAGGTGGCACTGGCTCTGGATTCTCCAGTTTACTCATGGAGAGGCTCTCCGTTGAATATCCCAAGAAGAGTAAACTCACCTTCAGCATTTATCCAGCCCCCCAGGTAATACTCCCTTGTTTATATTCCTTTATGGAGAAAGAGAAGGGGCAAGACAAGGTAAAGCTCATGGTGAGCGTGAATTTTTGATAAGGTGAATTTTACTTGTATGATAAAGCGTGCATTCAAGGATTACCGGCTTTCAGGTGTCCACTGCCGTTGTCGAGCCATACAATGCCATTCTTTACACACATCCCACCCTTGAACACTGTGAGGTGGCATTTATTGTCGATAATCAGGTGAGAAATACCAAAATTATCAAGCAAATTGTTTATCCATTTTATTCACCACACGGAGAGAAATATCCAATAAAAATTATGGAACTTTAGTTCGCTTATCGATTCTGGAAGTGACTACGGAAATTTACGTTGCGGTATCGTAATGTTTCACTTATAATACCACGACAGCATCGAATTTATCGGATATTTCCCTCTAGGTTCCCTGCAAACAAATGAACCAGGTTCATTTCCGGGGATTTCCAGGTTTTTCTGGAAAACTTGACAAGCTCGTTTGTTTGTCGGGAACCTAGGGGAAATGTCCGATTAATTTCGAAGCTCGAGTCGTATCCGTAAGATCGTAAAAATTTTTTTTTCATTCAAATTTCAGCAGACAGAATTGCATCGTGAGACGAAGTCTATATTGAAAGAAAGAGAAGAGATATTTCTCTCGATTATTAAATGACCACATAATTAAATGCAATGTGTCACTTTCAATCAGCGGTTAACACGATCCAACACTTTTTTGTTTCATGTACATATATGCAATATCCTATTGGCTGATATTTGGACGGAAACAATAATCAGTAGTAATACCCCAAGACCTTCAAAATTATTGGATATTTCCCGAGAGTTTCGGTGCTACGCAGGGAAACTGGAGGGAAATATCCGATTAATTTTGAAGGTCGAGGGGTATTTGGCTGAATTATTTCTTTCATTCCAATTTCAAGCAATTAAATGTGTGGCATTCACGTCATATGATATAAGTGAAACGGTTTTATTAGGAAATCTCAATTTTCAATTTTTACAAATTTTTATAGTTTTTGGGGTTTGAAACGCGTACGAATTGTTTATCGGATATTTTCATTGCTTAGCAACAAATGGAAATATTCGAAAAATATCGGAATTAAAACCGTTTTACTTGTACCACGTGACGGGAAATGCCACCATTTGATTGGTTGAAATTGGGATGAAAAAAATAATCACTGTAAAGTGAGACAAAACGAACCGAATGTTCTGGGAAGATTCCAAAATAGTTCGACGACTTTTTGCTCTAGAATTACGAAAAAGGTAGAAGAGACCCGGGCAAAATGGAATACTTACGGAAAAGTATCCCAATGGTTTTTGCGAATTTAATTTTTCGTTTAATTACAGTTGTTATATAGCTGCTTTCCTAATTTTTTTAAATTTTCAGCATTCTCAAAAAATACGCTATCTCACTTCAATCACTTACTTTTTGCCTCTGATCAACAAATGCCTTATATGGGAACTTAATAATTTTTTATCAGCAAGTGTAATCAAATTCGGGAAAGACTGAAATGTTGAATAATGGATTCTTACGATCGATTATTTCCCCTCGTCTCCCATCGAACCTTCCGATTCATCTCATTTTACCCGCATTCTATACTTCCCGGTTCACCCCTACGTAATTTTTATTGAATATTTCTCTTCGTCCACCAGAATATTTATCTTCCACGGAGAGAAAAGTCCAATAAAAGTTACCCGGAAAAACAAATGACATGAAATTCCTGTTAGATTTTACAGTTTGCAGAAAAAGTATGAAACTTTCACATACTTTTTCAGTGACAGACCCGAAAAGTCATTGAAAGTTTCAGATTTTTCTCTTATATTTCTGTAAAAATTCCGCTCTCGCTTGCGGATTAGGTGAAATGTTCCGTAATTTTTTAAAAATATTTTCCTCCGTGTTCCGATTGCCCAGATAATTATCCAGATTGCCTAGATAATTGAAACAACAATTTTCCTTAAGGATGTTCGACACCATTTTAGCTAAAATTCAGGTTTTTAATTTTTTTTTCTTTTTTTAATTTACCTATCAACCTACAATGGGTTATTTACACTGTAATTGAATATTTCAATTGAGCATAATTTACACTGGTTTACATTTCTATATATTCTATGACCATGGGTTTTTACAAACTGGTGAATTATTTCTAATGGTTTCGTGTTTTTAGAAGCGAGGAATGAGGATCGATCAGTCCCCGATAATGAAATTGAATCAATTTTTTAACCATTTGATCTTTTCCATTATCATAGAAAGGGCCATACCAGATGACATAGTGTATATCCTGAGTCTGTTGCCCCAACGTTGCCCCAACAAGTGCATTCCGGGCTGCCTACTAAATTTATTATTATATCCAATGAGTGTTTTAGATGGTAATGATTCGATCTAGCCCTATTTACCCACACTACTCGTTCTCTGAGAAAATTTTTCCCCAAATACCAAGGTTTTTTGTTTTTGTTCCAGTATCTATTAAAGTAAGATTTCCCTTCAGGTTCTATTGCCTTTCTAGCTTCAGTCATGATCGTATTGATAGTACTGAGGTACCCTTCTGATTTGAAGAGAGCCTTGAAATCTGATGCTGGAACCAGCAGCGAATTTTTTTCTGTTGCTTGTTTGCATTACTTTGATTCCTTCAGAAATTTTCAAGACATCTTCCTCCTTAATCCAAAAATATCTTCCCGAACTCCCAACGTTATATCCTTCTTCATCTAGTTCCAGGAGAGCATTCTCAATTGCTGAATTTGGAATTCTTGGTGAAACATTCAACAGAATAACTTAACTACTTTTAGCTTTTTCTGGAATTATAATGAGCTTGTTCAAACCTATGAAAATGCTGACATCAAGTAACGTGATTTTATCAGCAAGCTGTGAAGAGTTGAGGGTCCCTAAAAATCACCAATCGCATAAATATTCTCTCTGATTGTTACACCTAGGATAGCATTGATCAAAATCCCTTGTTCTTCAGTCGGGCACCTTTCTATTGCATGTGAGGGGCTGGTTGCTTGTACAAATGTTCACTGTTGCTGAGGTTGTGTGCTAGGTACAGTTGCTTTGCTACCTACCATTGCTTCTATCATTTTCCCGGCGACGAATGGAGAAACTCTAGTGGCAGACAGCCAAGAGCCGCCCTGGACTGGGCTAAACCCGTATATTATTCGTTATCCGAAATACTAATTCACACAGCAAGCACTGGTAACGTTTCATGGAGCGATTGCAAAACACGTCTCAACTCAACGATTCCTGAATTTTTCTATTTTTCTGGTAAATTATCAAATTATTTATTTTACTTTTTTTCATTATTTGATAACTCACAAAATTTCGTCGCGGTGCAATCATTTTCATGCGTTTTTTGTACAGTTTTGTGATTCTTCTCAAAAGTTTTGAAAAAAAATCACGAAAATGTTGGCATTGCCTTGAAACATCGTGAGTCATTAAATAATAGCCAATGACAAAAATGTAATGTTTTTTTCATCTCAAGCCCATCGAAAATTATCCAGAAAAGTAATATTACCATGAAGTATAGCATAAAAGGTATAGAACATCCTTAAGGCTCGCACACACCATCTATCAAGCATAATCTTTGGTTTGAATTTTATCTCCTGAGCTTAAAATATTTCCGAATTTGGCAAACATTGTGAAATGGATTTTGTAAAAGTGCATTTAATTAAAAATTGAAGAAAGCGAATGATCAATTATTGAATTTAGCTTGCTTGGTTGGTTTATGAATTTCGTTTACCCACAAGATTTTTTTCTTTCATTTCTAATAAAAAATTAACTAGATCCTGTTTTAAAGGCAGAATTTTATTTTAGCCAATTGAAGGCACACACTACAACCATAAATTTGAAAAATTAATTAATGATAGAAAGAAAGACAGAAAATAAATAAATACATTGTCAAAAATTGTGGTATACCTTTTATATTCTCCAGGCAATTTATGAACTCTGTAGAAGAAATTTGAGCATTGAGAGGCCAACGTATACTAATTTAAACAGACTCATCGGCCAAATAGTTTCGTCTATAACTGCTAGTTTGCGATTCGATGGTGCTCTCAACGTCGACCTCACAGAATTTCAAACGAATTTGGTGCCGTATCCTCGAATTCACTTCCCATTGGTAAATGGAACATGTAATTTTAAATCGAACAAAATTCTCATTGACCTGATTGTCCAATTTTCTTGATTCCACAATAGGCCACGTATGCTCCAGTTCTGTCGGTGGATAAAGCCGGTCACGAGAGGTCAACAGTTGCGGATATTACAGCATCATGTTTCGAACCGAATCATCAAATGGTTAATTGCGATCCCAGGCGGGGCAAATATATGGCGGTATGCATGCTCTATCGGGGGGATGTGGTTCCTAAGGATGTTAATTATGCTATTGCCATGATCAAGAAGCAGAAGCACGTGCAATTCGTTGAGTGGTGTCCTACCGGTTTCAAAGTAACTACTTTACTTATATCTATCAATTATATTCTACAGATTAATTCTATAATCAAGCCCTAAACTGTGGTATAAGTTGACAAATTGACACGGGAGAACTGAAATACTCTATTCCGTAACAAGTGCGAAAAAGTGATTTTTGGCATGTGGGTAGCTTGTAGCAGGAACCGAAGGCGAGAAGATATGGGCAAATTATTTGATAACTGTGCAACTTTCAATTTTACAGAAATCGCCCATAAAAGATATACAATTGTGTTGCGTAGACATTTTATTTTCAGAACAAAAGGACTTATCTCTCTTTATTAATTGAAATGTAATCACTGTAATGTGGAAGTAATCGTTAGGGAATGAAAAGGATCGACACAATAAATTCGGTTAATCGATTGATTTATATTACCAGGTAGGAATTAATTATCAACCACCTACAGTAGTCCCTGGAGGTGATTTAGCTCGAACTGAAAGAGCTGTTTGTTGCTTATGCAATACAACTGCAATCGTCGAAGCCTGGGCGAGAATTGATCATAAATTTGACCTCATGTACTCGAAAAGAGCTTTTGTGCACTGGTAAATATCCCAGAACATTTGCAACATCTAAATGATAAATTGTTTTGGCATTTGTCTTGCAATTGTTTTTTAATTAGGTTCGTCGGTGAAGGAATGGAAGAGGGAGAATTCTCCGAGGCTCGAGAGGACTTAGCAGCTCTCGAGTTAGACTACCGCGAAGTTCAAGAAGACACTGTCCAAACCGAGGACGACGAGTACTAAATTTATCACCAAAAAGTCCAGTATGTGCAACAAGAAATTTCCCCTATGCAAGCTCTCTGAATTCCACAATTCTGCAGCATTAATTATAACTCGAATTATGATCCATATCCCATTAATTATTTCAAGTGAACACGCGGCGTGAGAGCTGCTCACAGTTTTCCGAGATTTATCGTGTAAATTTGATTAAATTACTTTTAAAACGTGTGCCTGAGAATATTTATGATCATTGCAATAAATGATTGAATGAAATTTTAATGATTTAATTATTTAATTATGGAACAAAACACATCTTTTCAGGGCACAAATTTTGGGTAATCTTTCTTATAAAGAAGAACTTTTTAATTCATTCCCAGTCATTTTTCTGTTTTTCGCCAAAAATGTTGGAAACGGTTTAAAAGTGTCCCAATGTTTTTTGTGCATTAAATTTTCTTTTCAATTATACTGTTTTTTGATTATTCTTTTAATTTCTAAACATTCTCAAACAATAAGCCACCTAACTTCAATCGCTAATTTTTTTTGCTTCTGACCGTCAAATTTCTTATAGGGCAATTTAACATTTTTTAATCAGTTAAGTGTAATTAATTTCTGAAAAAACTGAAATATGAATAATGGACTGTTACGATCGATAATTTCGCCTTGTCTCCAATTGAACCGACTGATTCATCCCATTTTACTCCCATTCCATTTTATCCTGTGCCATTTTGCCCTATATCGATATAATTCTCATGACTATGATTTTCATCTTCCACCTTCTACAACAAGACATCGATACTAATTGTTTAGGATATTGAAGTATTTCCTAACATTTTTCGTTCACTTGTAGAAAAACTGATTAAAAAACATCAAATATTTGAAAAATTAATGAATCAATTGAATTTGAATTGATATTGACGTCTAGGAGTGAACAATACACTTATATATGAGATAAAAAAATTATATAATTATATAAATAACATATAACATACATATCTATGAAGGTGGCCCTGCAGAAGCCTTCGGTGGAATTTAAACCGCGCCGCCCCCTCATTTGAGTCGAAAAAAATATTTAAAAACTTTCGCGTTTTTTTATAAATAACACAAGTTTTCAGTCAATTTTCAGCGTTATTTTTTTTTCGAGTCATATGAGGGGACGGCACGGTTAACATTCCGCCGAGGACCTCTGGAGGACCACCCTAATATGTACATTTTTATTATATTATTAAAAATAACGATAAAAATAATAAAATCTTCGATGTTTATGTCAAGTACTTTTAAAAAATATACGCTAGTCAGGCATTTGGGGAATGATTGAATAATGATTAATAGGCGTCTAAATCCATTTAAATTTCAATGTTTT